ACTTAAAATGAGAGAGTTGAGAATCCTCCATCATCTGTTACTGCAGTAAAGAGCAATCAATGACTGAACATCTAAAAAGAAATCCTTTGTTTTAGCATTTTCTTTCACCATAAACCGAGTAGTCATTTTCTGTAACGCTGAATATTTAGCAGAGAGGCCGATTAAGGGTACCCCTGCCCTCTTTTTGGGCTTTCAGTAGAAATGCTGTGAAATAAAAATTTAAAGTTGCTAGGGCTTCGTATTTTCAGAACCGATTGGAAATTCAATCGAGCACTTTTTCGTTTTAGTTTCAAGTTTTCAACTATTGCCGTTCACCAGTTTTTCAGAAAACTCGCTTTTTCATTGTGCCACATTACGACTCGGCTTAAATTTCATCCGATTGAGTTAAGAATTTTACCAGAGGTACTCAAGGTCATTCCACAGAGGTAATTTTTGGGAAATGTTTTTGAGACTTTTCCTGGTCGAGTTGTAGGAAAAATACTCAAAAACGTCTCAAAAACCAAATTTTTCAATTTTAGAAACCCTGTAAGTAAGTAAAGAAAAGTCTAAAATAAATTTCAAAAAACTGCCTCTGCAATAGTGTCTTGAGTACCTCTGGTAAGATTTCGAACTCGATCGAATGAAATTTAAAGGGGTTCGTAATTTGGCACAATAAAGTTTGGTAGCCATAAAGTAGTTTTCGAGAAAGACGCATTTTGTACACAGGCCGCTTTTTTCAGGGCATTTGCCGCGATGCTTATATCTCCATGAAAGCACATCGTAAAAGTCTGGGAAACGTCTCATTGTCAAGAAAACATTTTCTTCCATCAGACTATGCGTAAGAAAAATTTTGAATATAGAGAAATAGCGAGCAAAGTTTATGAAACTAAAACAATGAGTGTCTTTAGGCTTTGAGATAAAAGCTTCAAAAATGCATAACTTGTGAAGAAAGGGCGTAGAGTGCTGGGAGTTGTCTCATTTTTATAGTCCATACTTTCCCCTACATTAGGCTATACTCAGCTCAAAATCCGAAATTTTTTTAAAAAAGAGCGGGATATCCGTGGATATTTTTGAAATGCAAACCGCAAAAGACGGTTCTAACAAGAATTTGAGTCATATCAAAAGATTCATTAGAACAAAATATAATCACAAAGTGCTCCAACGTAAAGATAAAGGCCGTTACAGTGAAAAGTAGCTTGTGAAAACAATCAGTCATCGATCTTTAGCTACCGACTAAAAGTGGCAAAACAAAAGTAATCTTAAACTTATGTTCACAACATTAATTACATCTGCTATCACGAACTGAGTAGAGTATATGGTTTATCATTTTTAGAATAATAATGACCTTGCCGATGAAAATGAATTTAGAAGGGTCAACATTATCGCCGATGCAAACACATATATCACAACAAAAATCAGTAATACAGCCAAAGCAGAGATCGAAAACCATTGATTTAACATTAAAAGACTGCGGAAAAATAGTATCGTCTATATTAATACCAATTTTGATTTGTATTTTCACCGTTGTGACAACACTTCAACAACATAATTCCGCAGCACAACAACGTGAACAAGACAATCATTTAGCTCAAAAACAACGTGAACTAGAGAATGATATAGCGGTACAAGAACGACTTCAAGATAAACAACAACAAGACGATTCTCTAAAAGAAAACCTGTTTAGTTCGTATCTCAGAGATATTACCGATTTGACATTACATAATAAAAGTATTAATATCAATGATAGGATGCAGTATATTCGCTCAAAAATATTAACTACTCTACGTCGCTTGGATTCAGAGCGTAAGCGAAATTTAATATTATTTCTCTATGAATCCAATTTAATATCCTATAACGAAAAGAATCCACAAAAACATGTTGTGGATTTGTCGGGTGCCGATTTGAATAATCTAAATTTTACATCCACATCAAAACTGAAATATTGGCTAAAGAGTATCAATTTAACCAATGTTTATCTAATCAATGCTACATTTATCAATGTTTATTTGCATCGTGCTGATTTTACCAATTCAATTATGACCGATTCGAGTTTTTCAGAATGTGTACTTTCTGACAGTTTCTTCAAAGATGGGATCTTGGATCGAGCCGATTTGACGAATACTGTAATGCAAAACACAATATTTTATAGTTCATCATTATTCCAAACAAATTTTACCAATGCTCACATTGATCACGTTGATTTTCGAAACGTTAATTTAAGTCGATCTATTAAACTGATAAAAATCGAAAACGTGACACTAGATTTAACTTTCGATCCTCTTTCCAACCATATGTAAATTATGGTATTTGGTCATAGATCAAAACTAAGGTAAAACCCCGTGGGAGACTGGCGCCAAAGGCAGTACTTGTCGTAAAGCACGTGTAAAATCATAAGAAAACATCGCGAAGAGCTCTAATTTTGTAGGAAAATGTTTGTTCTATACGAGTGATGACTCCACAAGTGCATAGTTAAACATATGATTATGTCTAAGAACGTCACATGTCACGTCAAGAAAGCTTTTCCAGAAAGAGGTATTGCAGGATTGATGGTTCTTTTGTAAGCTCTTTCGAATGAGACATAAACAAAAATAAATTAAAATTTACCTCTAGACCGCCTTACGATGGGTTGGTTTTCTGGCGAAAGCTTAATATGGCCAGTTGGTCCCTCAGTTGCACCAAGATGTTTGTTTTCCCTTCCAATATTGCCTTTTAAAATGGTTTCTTTTTCTAAAGGTGGTCTATTGACAGATGCTTTCTTTTTAAGGCGTGTATAATTCAAATTTCATACGCTATTTTATATTCGATCGAATCACACATCATTCGAACGAGGAGATTACTGACTGTTTCGCTAATCGACGGTATGGTCCAGTGACTTTGGATATAATTTTCAAATTGACTAATCAATATGGTGATTAGTTCCATTTTCATGTTTTTTGGGTGCAGACCTCACATCGTAGCGTTTATCTAACATTAGATTAACGAGCTTAAGCAAGGATAATATATGTGAAGAAATACACTCCAAAATCGTATATGAAGCGAAACGTCTTGGCTATGGTATCTCGATATATGAAAACAATGCGGGAATAATATTTCCTATCTGGACACGTTGAAAGGAAAGAAAGAGCACAAATATATATATATAATATATGTCACAGTACAAATTAAAATTTCAATTTGTCATAGGACGATTTTAAGTTGCACTGAATTTTTAAAAATCCAGTACAAAAATTTATACTGCGATACATATATTGCATGTTTGTGAAAAGATATCTCCTTTTACTAGGTCTCTAACAAATATACGTACCTTTAAAATGGGTTCAAAACAAAAAATCTACTGGTCTACTTTGATGACTAAAATCTTCAATGAATTCAACGTTGATTGAACTTGTGAACCAATTTGTACTTCTATTTGCATTAATTCAGACCGTTTTGCAGCATAAGGATTAACCAAAGCCAGCTTGGGTATCGATAAATTCTAACAGGCTAAAGCCTTCTAATTTTATACAAAAACAATGCGCTTGAAACCATCACTAATTGCTCAAAATGCTCATCTAACAATTCGAATCTAACTAAGAATCTCATAAGGTGCAGCAAATGCAAAAATGAAGCAAACGTTTTTTCTTAGCTTATCATGTACCATTCGATATAGTTTATCGAGCTGATCAATTCAATTCAATTTTTCGAAACATTTTTTTCATACCGAAAAATCGAGAAAACTTGAAACACGTCAGAACTGGAAAAAACGATGATGTTCACAAATAAAGTCATGTTTCTCGACCTGAGTCTTTCGTCAGAACATTCAAATTATCCTTTTCTTATTCAGCGTTGAAAATTGAATTAAAATTAACATTAGATGCATTTCGGAGATAAACGCCCGTCGAGCACAGACATACAAAGGGAGCAGTGACACATAAGGATGAGTCATGTTGAAAACCTATTTAGCTTTTGTATTAATGAGGTCCCCCCATTTAGATTTTCCTCTAACGTTCCCAGTTTGTAGAGGATACTTCGAAGTATACGTCCTGAAGCTTTTTTCGCTTACTGACATTATCTGACTGAGAAAAACATTCCTTACCTCCAAAAACTATTGTTGAATTTTTGAACAAGGGTGCTTTTCATGCAAGGAAATCGCATTTCAATATCCTAATCATTTTCAGCTTTTGGCAATCTGTGGGAACCCGCATCATGGAAAGCAGTCTGAGGAATCATGCACATTTCTCTTGTTTGCAGGATGCTACACTCTGGTGTTCTTTCCAACCAGTTTTCTACTAAGCCTAACAGCGATTTACGTAATAACCTATAGGTGATTTTGATCTATAGTCTAGAAATCTTTCGCTGATGCGAATCAGTCCTAGATAGTACGCATTGTCACATTGTCGACAGTGCAGAAACCGTTTTCGTTTTTAAAACCGCTGCTTTAACAATTGAAGGGAGCATTTTTGAGACTCGAGTCTAGAACATGAAATGCAGTAAATTTAATTTCCTAAAAATTATGTGCGGAAAGCCAGCTTCTAGAAGCTGATCTTCAGGGTACAAAATGGTTTATGGTATTTTTAACCCTGAAGAGCGAATTGTATGAGATCGCGCTCACCAGATCAAAATTACGAAATTAAATTTGACATCTTTTGTCTCGAGACTCAACTTTGGAAAACACTTCCTTCACAGTGAAATAGCGAAAATTAGGCCAACAAAGTGGATGTCACATTTAATTTTGATCTGGTACGTCCGACTTCATACAATTCGATCTTCAGGGTTAAAAACACAAAAAATCGTTTTCTAGTCTGAAGATCAGCTTCTAGAAACTGGCTTTCTACATATAAATTTTAGGAAATTAAATTTACTGCATTTCATGTGCCAGACTCGAGTCTCAAAAAAGCTTCCTTCAATGTAAAAAACGCTGAATGAAACTGTTAAAAAATTTCTTTTCGACATCAGTATTTTCAATAGCAGTATTCGTCAGTATCAGGATTTCAGTAAAATAAAGCAGATATAAACTGCAAAAAGTTCTCATATAAAGTGATCTTCACACTACTTTCAGAAATCAGTGCGTCACTTTATATTCGAACTTGGATTTTTGCAGTTTAATCTGCTTTTTAACTTTTTCTAAAGCAGGACAGAAGCAAAAAATTAACTAATTTACGTAGTAAGTACGCTGCAGTTGCAGTGAGTGAGAGAATAGGGACATATAAATCCTTTTTATTTTAATGTTGCACAGTTGGAATTTTTCTTCAGACGTTGGGTATATCGGAAACGAGCCTTCTATCTCAGAAAGTGTACTATATCTAAGGACTTCTGTGGTTTTTTTCCAAAGCGATGTTTACTGTGCAAAGGTCTTGAAATAAAAATGCACAGAAGTGAGAAATGCATCAAAGGTTGATGTATTTTACAACAATTGTGAGTGTCCTCGGTGTAAAATCGCTTTGCTGTTAGTGACTCTCAGGATGTAGCAAAGGTCAGTTCGGTCCTGTGTGATGCACAGAGGATTGGGGCTCAGCCATTCCGCCTCATTCACAGAATATTAGATTGGCTCTAATAACGAACTGCTCCTAGCGATAATATCTTCGGATATGCATTCTCTGAAAGCCCAAGCATGAATGTTTTCTTCACATACGGCAAGCGTCACCTTATCGGTAATATTCACACGCGAATCATAAAATAGCAACCGCTCTCACTATTATTTTAAGATCAAATGCCAGTTATGTCGAACCATAATTGGGAAGTACATGGGAGAACAAGTCTGAGATTAAAGCTGTTTTAGCAATAACAATCAAAATTTTTCTAAAAGTTCAAAAAGCTGTTAGCATAATTTCTACGACAAGTAAAGAGTGTGTTTACAAATAAAATTGCTGTGTACTTATTCTAAACTCAACCTCGAAGCAAGTTTGAGGTGTATGATTCACCTTGATTGCATTGTGTTCCCGAAGAGAAAACCGGGTAAAACATGGTGAAATCAGTATGCCAATTACCTTCAGAAACACTGTATTTTGAGAGATCTCGTATCAAAAGGTTTTCTTTCTGCATGGGACACTGTATTGAATAAATGTATTTATTAAAATATTGACAATGACTGTATTGTCTGGGTCACTGAGTCAGCCAGATGCATGGATCACTTCATTGACGCTAAATGCATTGATCATGTACGTGCATGGACGATGTTGTGTCGTTACATCGAGAAAAACATTTATCTGTATATTAGATGCATCTAGATATCTCCATATTTGTCTAGATACAATGTGCGATGTCTCGATGGCTTTCTTTTTGCGCATTTAGATGCATCGACCAGTGAATTGACGAATCTAGATACATTGGGCGATACTACATGCTTTTTGTGCGCTTGGTATGGATAAAATAACAACAGCTTTTGAAGTTATTCGGGGAGTGGTAACCCTCTCGCTATTTACGGCCCTGTCGATGTCTTTTACCAAATGATAAAAATTACACTCTTTTAACTCTTTGCTATGAAAGATTATTCAGAAAATACTCGTGCCCATTGTTGGCGCCGATAGTAGTAATCTCATGTCGTTTAAATCGATTTCCTTTGTTCGCTCACTGACGATATCCTGAGTAGGATTCACTAATCTCCTTCTTTTCACCATTACACTAATCTGCTTCTTTTTCAAAAATTACAAATGTCTAGAGAAAATATTTTCTACAAGATGAGCTATTTCACGTTTAAGCATAATTAACGGCTAATGAAGTGCGCATCATTCTATTCCACATGCTTCTACAGATGCATTATCTCAACACAGACGAAAAGGAAAAAGCAGAAATACAAAATATTGTTCAGCGTTATGTAATGCATGTTGAATACAGTGATGTGATCTTCATCAGTACGAACACTTTGGTTGATTAATAAGTACTTAAATGCTCAGCGACATCCCTCCCATCATCTTTGTCACAATAAGCGTTTAAATACCGTCTTTTATCTTTTTATTTTGATAAGTACATCTTCATGTTATTTTTTTCTTCTTCTTTAACATAATACGTAGTCATTACTGGTAGAAAAAGGATCGAGACAAAAGAAAAATCGAAGAAGAGACAAAAGTGTTAAATAGACTCAGCGATGGAATACGACCACGACCACACGGTAAACAAACAGTTCTCTTGTTCTTCTTCTTTACTGACCACCACGTAACCGCAACACCAAATGGAGTGTTGACTCTTTTTGAATATTGTAATCCGACAACTAGAAGACGGATGATGAGTTTAGAAGTGAGAAAGAGGACACTATGTGAGAATGCTTACCGTTCGACCATCTTCCAGTTGTTTCCCTGCAAAAATCAATCGTTGCTGATCGGGTGGGATGCCCTCTTTGTCTTGGATTTTAGCTTTTACATTTTCGATTGTGTCAGCCAGTTCAACTTCAAGTGTGATTGTTTTGCCTGTCAACGTTTTCACGAAGATTTGCATACCACCACGTAGTCGTAACACCAGATGGAGTGTCGATTCTTTCTGAATGTTGTAGTCGGACAATGTACGTCCATCTTCCAGCTGCTTACCGGCAAAAATCAATCGTTGCTGATCGGGTGGGATGCCCTCTTTGTCTTGGATTTTAGCTTTTACATTTTCGATTGTGTCAGCCGGTTCAACTTCAAGTGTGATTGTTTTGCCTGTCAACGTTTTCACGAAGATTTGCATACCACCACGTAGTCGTAACACCAGATGGAGTGTCGATTCTTTCTGAATGTTATAGTCGGACAATGTACGTCCATCTTCCAGCTGCTTACCGGCAAAAATCAATCGTTGCTGATCGGGTGGGATGCCCTCTTTGTCTTGGATTTTAGCTTTTACATTTTCGATTGTGTCAGCCGGTTCAANAGCTGCTTACCGGCAAAAATCAATCGTTGCTGATCGGGTGGGATGCCCTCTTTGTCTTGGATTTTAGCTTTTACATTTTCGATTGTGTCAGCCGGTTCAACTTCAAGTGTGATTGTTTTGCCTGTCAACGTTTTCACGAAGATTTGCATGACTATAAGTGTAACTTTGGTTTAATAAACTTGCTTAAAATCTTTTTGCTGATGCACTTACTTGTTGTCTGTATAGTTGGAAATGTAGAAATTATATTTGTGTAGAGATTGTAATGAAGTTAGACTGTGTGAGGAGCTGCTTTTATAGTGGAAAAATCTCGTTTTTTTCTCACTCTCTCTTTCTTCTACGTACGACGAGATTTCTCCTATGTGTGCAATTATTGTGATTCACATACATACATTGGGTGAGTCATACGCTGAGACAGAGAACGAAGATAAATTCTCGCGCTGTATATTTGTCAGAAAAAAAATAAAGCGATACAAGACAAATATAATGACAGTGAATCATACGTTTCTTTTCTTCTATTTGTAATAGATACGTCATGTTGATGCAATGATGATGACAAGTTTATTTTTCCAAATATATGACGAAAAATAAATAGTTCACTGAACATCTGCAAGTTTCTTTCGTTTGATGTAAGACAAGACGGGAGTAGTCGTAGAGGGAATTAGTAGCGGTGCCTGGCATGACGAGTGTCAGCTTAAAAATAATTAGGCGAAAATACTATTTTTTATTTTTGCTTCAAAGGAGTCAAAAAAACACAAAAACCTTCGTTTTAATTAAATATCAACAAATTAAGGATCAGAATGGCTACTAACTGCATTAAATGAGATTTTGATGGCTTTTTTGTCACATGATATTAAGTGGGTTCCGATCTTGTGCGTTATATTTTATTGTGTAACGTGTACTGTTGAATTAAGGTTTTTGTCTGTTTTGCTGCCTTCATCCTTCTTCCTTTGGTTAATATGTAACAATGGATAATTTTTTTCAATAAAAGACTAAAGGAAATTGTAGCCGAGTTTCTCTTGAACAGTTTTATTGACTTAGTTTGAAATTTTCAACTACAGTCATTTTCAACAGATACACAGTGGGCAGTCACATGGAAATTAGGTGAGAAAACGAAAGCTACTTTTCTAATGATTTAAATAGTGTTTTATATATACTAGCCAATGGCCAATTTAATGGTGAAAAGTATTTGATCCAAATGCTTTAAGTGGTCGGGATGGATAAGTCCGAGTTTTTGCAATTTTTTGCTACAACTCGACGAAAATCGTTTTCTCTTCCCATGCCCTACAGAAAGTTTATATTTGCACAAGATCTGTGAAGTTTCTTGATCTCAAAGAATGTTCAACAATCCCTGTCAAGATCTTGTCAAGTCTTTTTGGAGGAATTTGCGTGCAAACATCTGGATCAAGATCTTGACAAGATATGAAAACTTTTCTGTAATTAACAAAATCTTTGCTAACAAAAAAGGTTATCAATTATTTTGATTACGACATGACTCAGAGGTTCGACAAAAATGTAAATATGCCAACTTTGCATTTATTTATAGTTATTGTAGTACTACAGTGTAGAGGACTTCTGCTAAAATTCTATTGGTCGATAGGGTAGACAAATAAATATGTTATTCTTTCAATCACCATTTTGTTTGAGATTGTTCTTGCATATATAAGAATAAATACTAGCACTACAGAACATTGAAAATTTTCAAAGTAAAATTCCAACATTGTGTTTGAATTTATGGTTGCTCGTGCACTTTCAACAGCTCTGGTACTGTATGCATAGTACCGTAGAGCTTGCACTGTAGTGATACAGTAGAAAAAAATGAAAATATTAAGTAGAAAATAAAGTTTAAGATTTTCTTTCAAATTCCCAAATATGTTAATGAAGATTCTGATTATTGCATATTAAATTAATCATTTCAGAATTGTTGAAATACCTTGACAAGATCTGCTCAAGATTTATCACGTTCTGATACAAAACTTCTGGAAAATCTGCAGCATTGCCTTCCATTCAGACTCTTGACAGATTCCGATAAATCCGCACAAGTTCTTGAAAGATCTGGGGCGAAACTTGAGAAATCTTTAAAGATTTATCAAGATCTGTATTCAAGATTTTTCTCCTGGGCTTGTCAAATAGGCAGTCACTTAAAAATTGTAACATATATATTCTGAAAGCGGCGCACTTGGACTATTGATTCATAAAAGAATTTTTGTCCGAACGAGTTAGCGAAAAGGAAAGAACACGATTTTTATCTGCACGAGATGTCTTTCGGAAACATGCACCCAGTAAAGTGAGCACGCCATCCGCATCCAAGCTGTTTTCAATGAAACTTTCAGCAATTGTTCCACTGTATGTGGCACGTCTAGATGGAATGCCCAAACTTGCCCAAACATTTCTGGCCGAAGTTGTAGATTTTACAAAAACCCTGGAGATGTATCGTTTTCTCACATTTTTCTTAGTAAAAAAGCATCCTAACTAAAAGATAAGGACATATTTGAAATCAGCGTCAAAAACTGCATCTAATGATAGGTCTTTTAACTAGTTTCAACGAACGTCTGCGTAAGTTTCCGAAAACAGCGTTTTTCCAATATTTTCCTCTAAAGTTTGAGCTGAAGTTTTTTGCAGTAATCTGCGAGTGTTCAAAAATTGTGAAAACCCGTTTTCTGTAGGTTTGAACACTAGTTTATAGCTACATGTTTGATTAGTCTTATTTAATAATCTCCTAGAAACGCCGAGCAAAGGAAACCTTGTAGCAGAGTTTCATTCTAATGCTTATATCTTAGTCCTCGCCACGTTCAACATTTATCTAGTGTTCAACATTTATTTAGGCTAGTGGACAAGTGTGGAGCACAGGATCGTCATCGTTGAACAACGAAGAGTAGAACTTTGTTTACAGTAAATTTGACCTAGTTTTTTTTGAGAGCAACTCTAAGGTCTGTGGGGTGGCTAGAAATGTTCTCCTGTTCATTCTGCACATTAAGAAACAGGAAAATCAAAGTAAATAAATAAAATAGAGAGAACTGTAGTTTTTCAATCGGTAATAAAAGCTGCCACTAAGAGCCTTTTGTGTTTTCTTGGGTATTGTTTTATATATCACTAACCAAGGTGAAACGTTTTTTTTGATAGTTTCGTATCAGCAACATCTGGACAAACGTACGATGCGGGTAACTGAAACTTTAAACAGCATTTATTTTTCATTTATTTGTACTTGGTTTGATAGAGCTCGTCGAGCTGACGAGTTAGAAAAAGTGTCTTTGATTTATAAAAAAGATTTTTAAGAAAGGAAAACTGAAAAAAATTCAATGGATCTAAAATTTCGAAAAATCCTTTAGTTTCAATTTGAAACTAAAGGATTTTTCGAAATTTTCCACACTTCCAAGAAGGTTTTCTCATGGTAGTGTCAACGGCTAAAAGTACCAACATACCTATCACTTAGCTCATGTTGAACGAATAATTTTATTAAAAAAATTATGATGATGACGGTAAAATAAGTTAAAGCAACTGGACTGCAAAATAAAAAATATACGTATATATATATATATACAGAGCGAGGAAGGTTCG